TATATATATATATATATATATATATAATATTAAATATAATAACTTAGATTTAGTGTTTTACTGTTTTATTTGTAGAAAAAAATAAAAAATAGAAAACTGATTTAACAATATAGGAAATATGAATCGATATAAAAAAACATCAATATATAAGGAATAGTTATGAAATATTCTAAATTGAGATTTGAATGAAGAATAAATTTTAACATAAAAAGGAAAAAATTAAAATAATTAATAAACATTTTTAAAGATGAAATATAAATGTTAAATAATGGTAACATATTATATACTTTTGATGTACACGTCTTTTGTCCAATTTTATTCATATACCTACTTCTTATGTAAATACTTTTTGTTATTTATTTATTAAAAAAATTTCACTTCACAAATCACTCATTGAATAATCATCATTATTATTATATTATTTTCATAATTTATTATTATTATTATTATTTTTAAATATATAGAGAGACAAATTTTTTCCTAATATATATACTAACAATAAAAATATTCATTTATTTGGTGTTCATTTTTATTTTTCTTATTTTATCTTTAATAAATAATAATATATAATTTCTAATAGCTATACAATTTTTCTATATTAATAAAAAAATATCTTTTTATTTGATATCTATTTTTATCTTTTATATATCATTTTTAATAATTATATAACTATAATAATCCTACAAATTATAAGGATAATTTTATTATTATTATTATTATTATGGAAGCAATAAGGTTCTATGAATGTTCATATTTTCATGTCTATTTCACTAAAGATGTGAGAGTTATAAAGTACTCATTTTATGTGCGTGTTTGGGTCTGTGTTTGTAAAATTGATTTTCATCATTCATTAACGTTAGCCAAAATCAATTATTCAAAACGTAGAAGTAATCTTCACCAGTGTTGGCCAAAATTGATTTTTATCTGTAGAATCATGTAAAAATGAAAATTTTTAAACATGTATAAAGATGAAGAATCACGTTTTTTTAAGGAAAAAAGGTGCATTGCCCTACCAGAACGTGCATCCAAACATAAGCTAAATCTTAACTTTATTCATAACCGTGTTACTATATTTAGATGAGACATGCACGGATGGTACAAATTTTTTAATACTCTTCTTATATTTATCCCATCTTCATATTTATATTTAATGAGTATAAAATTATAAGTAATCTTCACTAGTGTTACCAAAATTGATTTTTATCTGTAGAATCATATAAAAATGAAAATTTCTAAACATGTATAAAGATGAAGAATCACATTTTTTAAGGAAAAAAACGTGCATTGCCCTACCAGAACGTGCATCCAAACGTAAGCTAAATCTTAATTTTATTCATAATCGCGTTACTATATTTAGATGAGACATGCACGGATGGTACAAATTTTTTAATACTCTTCTTATATTTATCCCATCTTCATATTTATATTTAATAAGTATAAAATTTGTATATCCATTTTCGTACTCATCCAATATTAAATATATCTATATTTATTTCATATTTGTCTAAAAATTTATTAAATAATTTAAAAAATACAAAATATAAGAATTTTAACATAAAATAATAATTATAAATTACATTAATTATATTTTATTTGACATAAATTAAAAATACAATAAAAAATTACATAATTTAAAAATAAATTCTAAAAATAAAAATTAAATAATTATAAAATTAAAGCATGTATGATTACAAATACGAGACAAATATGTATATATCCATCCTTATCCCTGATTTAATAAATCGGATATTATTCATACCTAAATTCGGTTAAATTGAGTATCATTCGTTAAGGTTATAATGAGTTTAACCATTATATACGAATGCAAATTTACTTACCATCCTTAGAGACATGTCTATAAGCCGGAGTTCATGTCTTTCACATTTTTAATACATATATTTTATGAATTTCAATATTATTAAATAAAAAAATGCTTCTTCTCTCTAGTTAACTTATCCAATATAATGATAATTTTATCTAATAATAAAAATGATAAATTTATTTTCCATAATTATTGTAATCAACAATGAAAAATTTCAAATAATCATTAAATAAAATTAGGCAACAAAATAAGTTTTATCTGTTAATTCTTTAATTTTTTTATTATAAAATAACACAACTATTTAAAACAAACTAATATCTTAATATCTTAATATATGTAATGTACGTTCTAAATATTTATCATGTATAATTAAAATTTATAATAAATTATATATATATACATATATATTATATTTATAATATATAAATTTTTATATTTAAAATACAAATGAATAAATATTTTTAAATATATAAATTATATTTTAAATTTATGATAAGTAGTCTATATTATTTATATTGAGACATGATTTTTCAATTATTTGTAATTTATTTTAAAATATTAAAAATTATTTATAAATAAATATGATAAATAAAAATTAAAATAAATAAAAAGTAAAAATAATTCTTAAAATATTCTTATTGATAAGAATTTTAAGACTTTTTTTAATTTTTATCTAAATTTAATTATTTTTCTCAAAATAAATTATTAACAATTAAAATTAACACCTTGTCACATCTATAATATAATTTTATGTTTAAAAATATTTATTTATAATTTTTTTGAATATAATTTGTAATTTTAAATATAATATTTATTTTATATATAATCTATTATAATTTTTTTATTATATATAATAAATATTTAACTTGAGATGTAGAAACTAAAATACTAGTTAAAATAAATAATTCCAAATGAGAGTATTTTTTTTACTTTATAATTTTTCTTGGATAGTAATATTATTAAAATACCTTCTCAATCTTCTATTTTATTGTTTTATTTCTAAACCAAATATTAATATATCTTTTAAATTATCAAGAATTAAAATATATTGAATCATAATAGAAATTATTTATTATACATCTAAAAGATATTTTAAATATTAAAATATTTTTATTATAAATTTTAATTATAATTAATATATGAAAAAGTATTTATTTATTATAAAATTTGAATAGTTATGGTGTAGTATTAAAAAAATTGCAGCTGTGTATTGATTGAAAGTTTGAAAACCATAAGGTATAATAATAATTTTATTTTTGTTGTGATAAACTCGAATTGAATAAAGATGTGGTGGAGCACATGACAGAAGAAAAAACCGAACAAGGGTTACCACAAGTCCAGCTGGACGAGGACATTTCCGTCCTTTTCTAATTAGGGTTTCCATCTTTCGCATCTACAAGATTCACAAACGAGCCCGCTAACCTCACCCAGGGCCTCAAAAAAAACAAACGCGACAGACCAACAGAAAAGAGAGCTTATAAAAAATTTACAAGGTAGCGCGGAATGGGAAGGCCCCACGTGTCCGGATCCGCCAATTAGAAAAGGGGAATGAGATCACGGAGTGACCCGCGGGTGAGATAGGGAGAGTGCGAAAAGAGAGCGTGGTGGTGCTATTTGAATCACTGCTTTTAGAAGAACAAAACCCTCTTTCCCCCAAAACCCAAACCCTTGGCGGCGTTGTGTTGCGTTTTCTCTCTCTTTTTTTCTCTTTCC